TTCATCTGAGCTCAAAGCATTTTCTAGATATGTGGTCACAGATTTAGATGTGGAAGAGACTTTAGACTACCTCATTTTACAAATGAAGAAACCGAGGCCCAGACAGCTTAAACTAACTTGCCCAAAGGAGTAAAGTAACAAAGCCAGAATATGAATCCAGGTCTTCTGAAAATTCAAATCAAAATTCAATATTTCCTCATATTTCACCATGCTGACACACTTTGACATCAACCATTTCCATAATAACTTCCTGACTTATACACAACTCAGGCATTATCAGGCATTTGGCATTTTGCAAAATAGACATGTATATTATATTTGAATAAGCTGTGCATCTGTCTTTTTTAGAAGTATGCAATAGTGTCATGGAAGTGATTATTTTTCTCTGATAGAAACAAATAGTGTGATTAGAACTAGCAGAAAAGGTTTGTTTCTTGGTTTTACATATCATTAGGTTGAACAGTATCCAAGATCTGTGAGTAGCCTTTCTCTTCCTTACCTTCTTCATCTTTCAAATTAGCAAGTTAGACACATAAAGTCACAAGCTTTTTAAAATTTCAAGTCTTCACACAAATAAGTGAAATCTACAATTTATAATAAAAACTGTCAAGGCAAGGCTTTCATAGAGAAAGGTAGGGAAAGAGTTTGAAAATAAGGAATAACACAAATCAATTAATTTCTAAATTAGTCTTTTACCATGTAGCATATAGACAATCCTATGGCCTTAGAAAATAGAAAAGGAGGCTCATTCATGTCAGGCTTCCAAATCACTTTACTCCCCAAAAGTGTTGGAAGTCAATGGAAAATATATGTTGGTTGGACAGGAACAGAAGTCCCAGGTCACAGTGCCAATTGAGGACACAAGTCCTCAGAGTCCCAACTTGTTGTTTCACAAATCCCTTTCCAAAATATAAAGGGAAGAAAAAAGAAAAACAAATCCTAATGTAGTAAGTCCAAGATAACCACAGTACTGTTTGATTTTTACAAAATAAACATAATATTTACCATAGATTAATTTTTAATTAAAATTAACTTAATTACATTTTAACTTGACACTTTTGCAATACATTTGGAATATGTGAATATTCCCAAAGTGCCACAAAGTTAAGGCTAGGAATCTGGACAAGCCAAAAATAGGCATGATTTGAATAATATTGGGAAAATAGAGGCTACTATGATTCTCTTGCTCATTTTCATCTTTTATGTTCCCCCTGCTTGGAAAGTAGTAGCATTTCTAGGTTTGGTCTATTATTAAGCATCATAGTAGTTGTCAATAGCTACAACAGAAAACTATGATAATAAGAAGTAATTATTTTTCCCTTATTGACCTTAGGGGACTATGGTGCAGACTCTTATTTGAAGTAGACAGGAGGCAAGCCTGGTTTCATTAAAAGAAAGAATGAAAAGGGGGTGGGGTGGGGAACTATTCCTCTTGGGAAGGAGAAAAGCACATAAATGTTTTGTATCCTTCATGCTGTATCAGATTCTAATTCCACCAAAAATTGTTCTGAAAGCAAAAGTTAGCCAAACATTTTCTAGCTATGGTTAAATGTAACTACCCTCTCCTTCTAATGCTAATCCTTGAATTATCTTGATTGTGGACTGTATTATTCATTACTTAATGTGCTAGAAACTAGGGGAGGCAAAATAAGAGTCTCTAGATCCACCCAGTCCCCTTCAGTCTTGCTAGGTGAAACACCCAGAATTTATAGAGATCCAAAAATGTGATTGTAACAAAAAAGAATTGTAACAAAAAAGAATTTGCTCACCTTAGGTTAAAGAGCAGATTGAATTCAGGGGTAACAGATGAGAAAAAAAGAAAAGCAGTTTCAAGGACAGACTTGATGAGGAAGGCTGGGCTGGCTGGATGGTTAGTTACAAAGACGTGAATCACAAAGAAATAACATAGCCTGAGGTAGGGATAGTAATGGTTGGGGTGGGGGGCTGAATTATGGGTTATTAGCCCAGAGACCTCTCCCATCTAGAGGATTAGGGAGGGAGGAGGCTATTAAGAAGCTGTAAAAAAAGTGAACAACCAGCAGATGTGAGCAGTGCAGACCCAGGAGAAGGCACTATAGTATAAATGACTGACTAGTGGAGAAAGCAGACTCATTGCAACAGTAGGGAAAAACTCAGCTTGCAGCTTGATAATATCACTGGACAAGCAGATGACATCAGCAGCAGTTTTTCAAGGGGAAAAAAGCAGCAATAAGTTCCCATAGCCTTTAGAGAATGAGTTGCTCTATTTGTTTTCCCCAGTCACATGTTCCCAATGCATGTCTTCTCTCACATATGTCATCTTAGCCATACGTATTCCTTCTGTGTGCCTTCTCTGTGTTCCTTAACCATACATGTTTCCCTATGTGTGTTCATTCCCTCTCCCACCAATGGTGTGATAACCAAAATATCCTTGAAACCTGGGGTAGCTTTTGGGAGACCTGCAAGTGAGAGAAGCCTGGACTATAGTAAAATAGTGACTGAAAGTCAAGCTTCCAAATTCATTCCCAACTATGTGAATAACATCACAGGGCATTTGTGACTTTAGTTCTTCATTTCAAAGTGGCAATATCAAATGTCCAAGATCAATATAAGGATGGATTCTTTTCTGTTGAATCCATATAGAGTTATGAATCAGAAATACTCCATAACCCAAAAGAACTATGCTGCAACATTATCAATCAGTCTTGGATCCCTTTCAGGGCTACCCAGTTAACTCTAAGAGTATTCACTGTACAGAGTGTTGTTTTACAGGTTTACAACAAGCCATTCTCCATCTTATATCCCAATATCTCTAAGGGCTTGTATGAAATCAAGGCAAGAATTAAAGAAATTAGCAAGTTAAATAAATTCAGCATCTCCTCTCAGTAGCTGCAGACAGTAGGCAGAGGCTTACATGAGGAAAAATGAAAGCAATGGGTCTAACTAGAGAAAGGTATGGCATTGGTAGATACAGGTAGAGTAAATGTCAGTTCTTAGGAAATACTGAATATTTTTCCATAATCAAAAAGAAATTTAACTGGTGTAAAAGATTAACTTAATCCTCCATCAAATCTATTTTTGAAAATCTCAGGCAGGTCAAGAACTTGAATTTTGATCTTAACTGTCATGAGGAAACATTATCATCATACAAAATGACTGCGGCTGCTTCTTATCTCTTTACAATCTCTCCAAAATCTGTCTGCATTTCCTTGTACTCTGCCTTAAGAGATTTTATTTTCTGTTTCCGTAACAAGTTTATGGGAAATCATGCCACTGACAGTTCTAGGAGTACTACAAGAAATATTTAGGATGTAAGAACTTTGAGTCTACTTAAATAGCTACAGATAACCATTACTAATTATATAGCATAAAACATTCCCATCAATCCTTGATTGAAAATACACTCAAAAATAAAACTTTATTTTATCAGCAAATTATTTTATCAACATATTACAATACTAGTGCTTTGGAAAAAAAAGAAAAGGGGTATCTTATTGGGGAAACTTCAGATATTAATTATGGACACATACTGCTATTCTCTAACACCCAAATTCCACACTAAATACACTTTTAAAAAAATCCAGTTATCCAACTTGATGAACAATAACCTAGAATATATTATGTTCATACACTTTACACAAATATGAAAACATTCCCTGTCTTTTTGCTTCCCTTTATTTAACATTCTACTTTATGAGAAACTAAGCTAGAAATAGAAAAGGGTGCCTATAATCAAAACTTTTTGTTCTGAAACTGAGACACTAAGAGAATAGAATGAGAATATGTCAAGTGGTTAAATTTGGAAGGAATTCCAAACATTCATAATATTTGAGATATAATCCATTTGATTTCAATTAATTCTGATACCATTGAAATGTAGGTTTATTAAATATCTACATGCCAGCAACAAACTTGCTACTTTGAAACTTCAGCATATATGTGCTCTCTCTGCTTCCACAGCCCATCATACACACAAATCTCTTGTCTTTATGTCCCTGTAAATTCTAGATTGTAGTATCTACATTTAAAGGGACAGCAATATATTTACCAGGATGAAGTACATGTCAAACAAACCTCAGAGAAGTTAATACTTTACTATTCAGTATTTTCGAATAGTTACCAAGAGTCTTTGTAAATTACATTAGTCAAGTAACCAACTTTTATTAGCAGCTTATTAGAAGTATCAAAATAAATTAGTTTATCTTTCTTTTCTGCAACAGCCAGACTAATGGAGGAGGAGGGAGGGATAATATGCTTCTCTTTATTCTACACTTCAGGCAATAAGAAATAAAGGGGGGTGCAGATGGAAGGGGGTGGGGGAGCTAGTTCACAAGTGGCTTGGTTATTCATTTGCTTTTGTTGCATTTTAAGAATGATATACCAAGGTGACATCTGAATCTAACTTCATAGGGTTAATTATCAGCAGATAGGGTTAAGAACAATATCAAGTGAGCTAGAAAACACGAATAGGGTATGGCTCTTTACTACAATTTGACATACAGTTAAGAAACGTGAGGCAAATGTGCAAGCACACTTTCAAACAGTGGTAACTTTCAATCCAGACAACATGAATAAAATCATAGAGTTGTATTCAGGTATTTGTAAACAACAGCACACACAAGTAAGCTCAACAGTCTGGCCCCGTTCTTTTAATTCTATGTACAACCCTAAAAAAATTTATCATAAATTATCCCTGAACACTGTAGCTATGTCAGTCTTGAGAGATACTTGTAACACTGAATTAACCTGGGGCGTCTATAGGAAAGGAGCTCAGCTCTCCACTGCTATGGGATTGGGGGCCAGGAACCTGTCCCCTCTGCAACTTAACTGCTGTTACGCTCCAGTGATTCATTAAACATCATCTTCCTTCAATTAGATTCACTTTGCCAGGCATCGGAAAACCTGCGTGGAAAACAGAGACATTGCCCCAACCACCGAAGATTGGTCTTGCCCAACAAGTCAGCGCCCTCAGGGAAACACACGTTAGAAGAAAGCCTACAACCTCAACTGTGCGCACTTACCTAATAAAGAGCCAATGAAGATGACAATTTGCACGGTTGTGGTGAAATGCCGATAGGTCTGAGCCTCACTATCCTCTCCGCTTTCCAAGGTGCTGACCCCGAGGGAGCTTCGATTGGTCCAGACGGCCTCAGCGCTGGACCCATTATACGGCCCTAAAGCTTGGGGGAAGCCTCGGTCACTGGCGTCTCTGGGGATCCAGCTCTCATTGTGACCCATGGTGAGACTGTATTTTTCTCCTTCCTCTTTCTTCCTCCCCGACCCCCAAGCCCCAGTCTCCCAACTCCAAGCCTCTGCTTCACACTCAGGCACTCTGGGTGCCTGGAGCCTGGGCTTAGAGGAACTAATGAATGAATGAAAATGAATGAATGAATGAATGAATGAATGAATGAATGAACGAATGACAACTTGTGCCTGACGGGGAGGGCCTTGGCGGCGGAATCACTGTGCCCTGTAGAGGTGACTGGGCCCCTCACGTCTGCACATCGCTCAGGAGGGGCTAAACGAGGCTACTACTCCCCATCCTGGGTCCCTCTTGGGTCCCACACACGACAGTAGGGACACAGTCAGAAGCTGCTCTCGACGCACGACTCTCTCCCTCCCTCTTCCCCAGTGGTCACCACGGCCACGGTCACCACTTATATTTGTGGATCGAAACAGGGTTCCCCAACTTGAAAAGACAGTATTTTGCATTCAAGGAAGGCATACTCCGCCCCCGCCCCCAGCTCCTTCAGTTCCTCCCAAAACAGGCATACCACCTAGGGGAGGAAGCCTCGCCATTTGAATGGCTGGGTTCTCCACGCTTTCCTTCAGAAAAAAAGAAAACATCTGGTTGTTGTTTTTCAGACCCGCGGACTCAGAAGCTGAACCGAGTGAAAATCCCTGAAATCTCACTGGAGGCCAAGCATCCAGAGCCTGGAAGGGGCCACTGGGACCCCAGCTCTGCCTACGGTGCTGCCGAGATTCCCTAGCTCGAACTTCCCCCGCCAACGACCCTTCTTTTCCCCACTACCCTCCAAAAAAAGCTGTCACCGGGGGAACCCCCAGCCCCAGCTCCGCCTCCTCTAGGGACTTCACTCCACCTTGGTGCCCGCTCGAGCCGAAGGTTCTCAACCCTGCTCTGCGCCCTTACTCCATCCCCTGTCGTGAGGCTTAAGAGCTCCAAGTTTGGAGGACATTAGGGGAAGGATGTTCCCACTCCCTGGCAGCCCTCCCGCCCCCATGCGCCGCAGCCGCAGGTCTCCTGCTGCTGCACGAGCAGCTGAACTCCCGGGGATCCCGGGGAGGAGCGAGCGAGCAGAGCTGGGTCACATGGAGAGGCGCGCGAGCTCCTCCCTCACCTTCCCTTCCTCCCTCCCTCCTCAGCCTCGGTTTCTCAGGAGGCGGCCATCTTAGCCGAGCCGACCACTGTCACTTTCGGTAGCCCCAGAGCGGTGGGCGGGGGTCGAGCTCGGGCCTCCTCCTCTTCGTGGGCGTTATTCTCAGAATGGTCCCTACATCGCTCCTCCTCTTGTCCGCGTGGCTGGGAGGTGGAGGAGCGGAGGCTCGCCTTCCCCTAGTCCCTCCCCCTGGGCACCGAAGACCGGCCCTTGGGGCAGTTTCTGGGGGCTTTATAACCCTGCCCCACCACCACCACTGTGTCTCCGCCCTTTGCTGGGAGTGTCACGACTGATCACGACCTGGGGCTTCCCCCTGCGAAGGAGGGAGAAAGGAAGATGACGATTTCGTGCCAGTGGACGCCTGCCGGGGACCATGAAAATAAAAGGGAGGGAAGGCTGAGGAAACAGCCTAGGGGTGGAGGACAGGAGGAGAAAAGCAAGGAGCAGCGTGACGTCGGGGAAGGATTCACCTCCTGGCCCTTGCCTAACATCACCTGTCACTCCGCATCACAGATCTAGAGATGGAAGTTACCTCAGAGGTCAACTATTCAACTAGTCCCTGCTTTAAACTGAGGGTCGGAGAGGTTAAATGAGAAAGACTTCACAAGTAGTAAGATACACTGAGGGTGTGCTTTGAACCCGGGTCCTCTGATTTCAAATTCAATGTTCTCCCCACCGTGCCATGCAAACTGAGGGCACTGGACCAAACTAGGGGAGTAGGGGAACAAGCATTCATTAAGTGTTTTCTATGTGCCAGGCGCTGTGTTAAGCGCGTTATAAATATCTCATTTGATCCTCATTTTATCTCTAAGATCACTCTCAACTCCAAATTAATATTTAATATTCTACATTTATTATCTCATTTGATAAAGCATGAAGGGGATTGGGGCACCAGGAGGAATGGACTGAAAAAAAAATAAGTGAACCCCTGCTCTTGTTAGGTTTTTTTAATATCTTGACAACTGACTGTTAATGTAGAGTTGGGTAGGGGCTAGGATGTATGGCAGGTGTGACCAAGGTCTTTCGGGAGTAACTTCTAAAGGCTGACAATATTACAAAGTTATTTTTTAAAGAAGAGCTCCACTAGGGTTGCTTTCAAGTTGACCCCACTCATAATATCAACACCCCTTCCTTCTCCATCTAACACCTAGGAACAACCTTGCAATGTTTGTGTAAAAAGGCTTAGCTCCCTTGGTAGATTTGTAAATCCTTCAGTGAAAGGGATCATGGGACCTAAAATTGTACCTTGCGCATAGTAGGTACTCAAGTAAATATTTGCTGGGTAAATTAACCCAGAGATGCTGTTAAAAATTATTCTAAGCCCCTAAGCAAAATTTTCAAAGAAATCCCTTAACCCTCCATGAGTTGTCAAATAACCCAAATAGTGGCATTTATATTTATTCTGCAGGTAATAGTAAATCATTAAGCTTTATAAGAGAATGACTTGGTCAGACCTATGCTTTAAGGATATCAATTTGGCAATTATGTGTATAATGAATTGGAGAGGTGATACAAGGGAGTCAGGGTGACCATCTCTGTACCCTATGATCCATAACCCTCTCCTTTCTCCCACAGTCAAACTCCTTTAAAAAAAAAAGCCATCACTGATTCCTCACTTCTACACCACTTGTAAACTGGTTTCGTATCACCACTGGCTGAAATCATTCTATTTTTACAAATGATCTCTTAATTGCTAACTCCAGTCCTCAGTTCTCAGTTCTCATCCTTCCTGACCACTCTGCAGTATTTCACCTTGTTAACCACCTACTTTTCTTAGATACTCCTCCCTGGAGGAGTTCTCCCTGGATATTCACAGCACTACTCTCCACCTACAAGTCTGACCATCCTTTCTTAGTCTCCTTTGCTAGAACTTCATCCATGTCCTGTTCCCAATGTGTATAATATACCCTTATAAATATACCCTTAGGTCTCTGTCTTGGGTCCTCTTTTCTCTCTATGTTTTGTTGTAGTGGTCTCATTGGTTCCCAGGAGTTTGGTTATCATGTCTAAGCAGATGCCTGTTAGATATATATTTCCATCTCTTATCTCCTGAGCTCCAGTCCTATATCAACAATTGCTTATAGAACACTTCCAATGGGATGTGCCATACGAATCTGAAACTCAGTATGTCCAAAACAAAATTTATTTTTACCCTAAACTCACCCTTCTTTCAAACTTCCCTCTGTTGAGGGTATTACCATCTTTCCAGTCACCCGGGTTCATAAGCTTTGAGTCATTCTACCTATACTCTTTGCTTTCCCTTACTCCCATATTCAATTAGTTTCCAAATCTTGTCAGTCCTACCATCACAGTGTTTCTCATATCCATTTCCTTTTCTCCAGTCATCATGGCCATCCAAATAGTTTAAACCCTTCTCACTTTTTCCCTAGATTACTGCACCAGCCTCCTAATTGATGTGGGAAGTGGGAGTATTTCTGGAATGGTAAATAATCTTCACAGGTGAAAAATTTGAAGAATAGCACTCATTCAGGTATATAGGTTTTTGAATGTGGGTTTTTTTTAAATTTGGGAGACAAAACATTAAAATCACATGTGTGTACACATATACACCTACAGAAACACAACTATCATATACATTTAATATAGACAAAGGATGATCCATTAGTCTGTATGCAGTTTGATATAGGAAATTTGGTCACTTGATTCTATAAGTAAAAGCATTTGTTTATTTTGTCACAATTTTCATTATATTAATTGCATATCTGTAGAGTGACTTTTTTCTTTATGTGTATGCAAATCTTTAGTCACACAAAGACATATCAGCTATCTTTTTTCTGTTATGATTGCCACCATCTTCATACTTCACGTCTTGATTCTTGAGTAACAAAAGGGAATGAAGAAATAAAAATTTCCACAACAAATATGCAGAATCAAGCAAAACAAATTCCCTCATTGCACATACTCAGAAAATATTTGTCCCATTCTACACCCTGAATCCATCATTCTCAAGAGGTAGATAGCATGCTTTGCCATTCATCCTCTGGAACCATAGATGGTCATTTCATTGATCATAGGTCTTATAGCTTTCAAGTCTTTATGTTGCTATTATATAAATTTTCTCCTGGTTCTGGTAATTTCATTCTTTATCAGTTCATAGAGCTCTTCAAAATTGTTTTTGTAATACTGATATTGTAGTGTAAATTGTTCTTCTGGTTCTATTCACTTTAGTCTGCATCAGCTCATACAAGTTTTTTCCCTATCTCTTTGAAATCATCTATTTCTTTATTAAAGTACAATGATATTCCATCACATTCATATACCACAGTTTGTTCAGCCAGTCACCAATTTATAGATATCCTATTCATTTCCAGTTCTTTGCCACCACAAAAAGAGTTACTATAAATATTTTTGTACGAGGACTTTGTGTCTTTCTTCGATCTCTTTTGGGTATAGGTCTAGCAGTGGCATAGAAGGGTCAAAGGGCATTCATCATTTAGTAACTTTCTGTATATAATTCCAAATTGCCTTGCAGGATGGTTGCACCTAGTCACAGATCCACTAACAATAGATCAGTGTGCCTATGTCCCACAGCTCCTCCATTTATCATATTTCCTTCTTTCTCATCATTGATAATCTGATATGCATGTGATAGAATTGCTTAGTATTGCTTTAATTTGCATTTCTTTAGTTGTTAGTGTTTTGGAGCACTTTTTCATATGGCTATATATAGCCTTAGTTTGTTCTCTTGACAACTGCCTGCTCATATTCTTAGACCATTTATCAATTGGGGAATGACTCTTATTATTATGAATTTTAATCATTTCTTTATGTACCTTGGAAATACAACATACCTAAATGAAAACAGTCAGAATTCCTATCAATTCAGTATTATGAAATGTTTCAGTTATTAAATATTTTCCTAAATTATATGTGTATTAAGAATCTTAGCTGGAAATTATATGCAAATACTCTTAAAAATTGTTTGCCTTTGTGTGCGCATATGAATTGTGTCAGTGATACTTAGTAAGTACTTCTTGTAGGCCAGGCCCTATACCAGATATTAGAAGGGGATTCTTGCACTCTAGAAGCTTAAATAGAGGAAAAGCCAAGTTAGGAGACAGGCCAATAAGTGTTGTACTCAGTGCACTTGCTTTCCTTGTACCTGTCTAGTTATGCTGAAGTCTTGTGCCTCTCTTTGTTATTAAAGAAAGAATTAACAAAAAAGTAGGTACTCTATGACTGAGATTAATGTAAGGTCAGTCTTAAGTTCTGAAGAAATTAGATTAATTCTGTTGTTGCTGTTATTTGGTCGTTTCAGTCATGTCCAACTTTTCATGATCCTATTGTAGGGTTTTCTTGGCAAAGATACTGGAGTGGTTTGCCTTCTCCAGCTCATTTTACAGATGAGGGACTGAGGCAAACAGGGTTAAGTGAATTGTCTAGGGTGGAATAGCTAGTAAGTGTCTGGATTTGAACTCAGAAAAATGAGTCTTTCTGATTCCAAGCCTACTGCTCTATCTACCGTGCTGATTCTATACCATTTTACAATTGATTCTATTCTGTAATTGATCCTATTCTATATTACTGCTGCCTTATTGTATATGATTGCTCATGCTCATTTCCCTGTCTCTTTGCCTTTGAGCTAAGTTTAGAAGTTCAGTTTCACGGTTAATCACTGTTCCATTCTTACCTCAAGGAAATCCATTATTCTTCAGGGATACTGGTAGACATTAGGAAGTCTGGTCTAGTATCTTTATATCATCAAGCTATCCTTCAAGGATGTCTGGTTTGTTACCCAAAGTCTGATTCACTATCTCTAACCTTGCAGGTGTACTCAAACAATGAACATTTCTTAGTCATGAGAGGGAAGGTGGAGGTTGTTGCTAGCCCCTCATTCCTAATTTCCGGCCAGTTGTATTGTCCTCACCCTCATGCTGCTACCACCCCTATAACAATTGCATTATTTTCCTCACCTACTCAGTTCTGTGTTTTCCTTCTATATTTATAAAAAGAAGCTGCACCTCCTCCTCTAGGTCATTATCCTCACTGAGGTAGCCACTTGATCCACTTTATTAACAGGTTTGTGCCCTGCTAATAAACTGATAAAGCTCAGAATTCTGTGCCTCAGTTTACCTTTTAAAATTTTTATCAAGACAGTTTTAAATGGTTTATGTTGCACCCCTTCACTTCTTTGTGTGTTCTGTTGCCCATATTTTAACTGCTTACAAGATACTACCATTAACGAGGAATAAATAGGCAGAGGAGAATAAAAAGGGAATATAAGGATTCTGAAGGTGAACAAAGGATATTGTTCGAAGGTGTAATGATTAACTTAGGGCTATAAACCTAATCAGAAGACAAGTAGTTTCTGACTCACCACAAAATTTCAGGCAGATGAATAGATGAAACGTCTTTGCTTATGTTGCTTACAACTCCAATCTCAAAGGTTATTTTTAGGCAGATTGATATAGCTAACATTTCACTTAAGTCCATTTGTGTATCCCAATTTTCTCTCTTTCTCTCAATCTCTCTCTGTCTCTGTCTCTGTCTCTCTGTCTCTCTCTCTCTCTCTCTCTCTCTCTCTCTCTCTCTCTCTGAGGCATTTGGGGTTAAGTGACTTGCCCACAGTCACACAGCTAGTGAGTGTTATGTGTCTGAGGCCACATTTGAACTTAAGTCCTCCTGATTCCAGGGCCAGTGCTCTATCCACTGTGCCACTTAACTGCCCCATATCCCAATTCTCTTTGTGGAATTAGGAGCACACTGACAGTAAACACTTTTTTTTTGTGAGAAAAATTTTTAATGGAATCTGACCATAAACTCCAGCTCAA